GTTCGAAGTACCTGTGGTTGTTGATTATAAGTTATTTTTCACCAATTAAAAGAAAACCAAATAAAAGTTAATCCTACTTATTTTCTAGTCATATTTACAACAAACAATAATAGTTGAATATTCAAGTGTTGGTTTTTATGGATTTGATTAGTTTCAGGATTTCATCATGAAGTAACATCGGTTAGAGGACCATTGGAGAACATGGGAGTGCCGGAAAGCCAGCTGTTTCATCAGCCTAGTTTGTGACTTCTGAGCAGTTTACACTAACCGCCAGGGTTCGAACCCAGGACCTTCTGGTTACAAGGCAAGCTCGTAGACCATTAAGCCACTGGTATCCTATCCAGTGGTCCATGAATTTCAAATTCTGCCAATTCATGATATGGAGTAACTGGCACTAGCCAGTGTCATCGGCGATATAATAACTTTCGTCATATAATAGGTATCAGCTCATCTGAGTCACCATTCAGCGACTGTTTAATTACGTTAACTTGAATAACCTATTTGAATTAATAAATTACGTCATCACCAACTTCTTTAAGCCTTAATTATCCTGTTATTAAATGTGTGTTACTAGTTGTCAAAAAATTAACTTTATTCTGTCAGTTTGATAGTTTTTATTCCCTTCTCAACTTTCCTTAAAAAGAATTAAATGAAATAAAATTCTCCCCTGTGGTTTAATTTGATTTCGTATATTCTTTTCAATGATACACTTTGTTCCACTGATTGCCTTTGATAATTCAATTCGTCTTTTTCTAAAAGAAGAATTGGCTTAGCCTGAAGAACAAATAAACTCCATACACTTTACACTGGAATGCCTACCTTTTTTTGTCTTTTGCCTCATCATTGAGTCAGAAAAAATGCGGAGGGAAGATCAAGTGATTTGAAAACTTTAAAAACAAATAGGAATCTAACATACTTCAGTTGATTAATTCTTGTTAATATGAGAAGAAATGATGTGTGCTTCATTGGTCACTTGGTTGATTATTTAATTCTGAGTACATATTTCATTTAAAAAAAGAAACTGATATTTTAATTTTTCACTAGGAAGATAGTTAGTTGTCTTTTATGGCTAAGTCAATACGAAAAACAACTATGTAATTAAATCTTAAGGCGATGTCTTCTTTTCTTCTTTTTGTTATTTTACTTACTAGGCAACTTGCTCGATAAGAGAAATGAGTGGGGAAAATTCACAAAACATTATCGCTGTTAGTATATTTAGAGTGCTAGGACTTGCAGTGAGAAAAAATAAGGATGTTTATGAGGATGAATTTCACTAAATACTGCTGTGAATAAAGAAAACATTACATAGCTCTTAATCTTTCCAAGATTATGGGGAATACCCAACATTACGATACAAAGAATACACACAGTGACAAAGATGGATTCAAGGGGAGCAAATATTTGCAAGCTTGATGAGTGCTGAAGTTCAGTCGCAAAGAGCATAGAAACTAAAACTGTAAAGGCTTAGAAATATAGTTGAGTAGGATTAAGATATGCATAGAAACAGAATGAAGTGATCTGTTTAAGGCAATTTTGTTTCTTCTGATGATTTATTCGACTAAAATATTCAGCCTTTGTTGACATATCGGCTTCTAATATGGATGCTTCGAATTATGTATGAAGAATATTATATTATTGTAATTGTTCCTCGGGTTCCTAGTGGAACATAGGGCTTCAACTACACGTCTTCATTTGCTTCTGTCTTCTGCTGCACTTTCCACCTGCATCGATGTTAGTCCATACTGTTTCAACCCCTCTTCACACGATCTCCTCCATGTCACCCTGGGACGTCCCACTCGCCGCTTCCCTTTCGGGTTCCACTCGAGTGGCCTGAGGTGCGATGTCATCCAGCGGCCTCCTCAGCGAGTGTCCAATCCATCTCCACTTTCTCCTGCATATTTGTTGGGCGATTGGTTCTTTTCTGTTTGCTTCCATAGTTTCATGTTGGTGATTCTTTCCGGTCATCTGATCTTCAGTATAGAGCGAAATGTTTGAAGATTAACATAATGTTATTTATTGGAGGCTGATTAGTAGAGGAATCCCGTTTGGGACTTTTCAGTGAATGATGGCTTTTCCATTAAGACTCCATGCAAATACAACCACTCATTGGTGACTGCTGGTCTGTCCACATGTTGAGTGTCAAATAGGACGACATTTTTTAACTAATGACAAAACAAAAAGAAATTGAAGATTAAAAGCTAAAATAAAGCAAAACAAACAAAGCTTATAGAAGATGGAAGGAACTTCTTTTGTATGCTTAACTTCAACTTCTGATCACATTTGCAAGTCTTCGTAGCATGTTGAAAAATTATTATCACCATTTGGTTTCATCTTTGTCAATGTGCACAATTAATTAATGGCTTTAATTAGGCTAACTTTTCGAACGAACATGTGCATCGGTGGCACAGCGGTTAGGCCTCTCGCCGGCCATGCACATGGTCCGGGTTTCAAACCCGTCCGACGCACACCTGATATCAATGGTTGGTCTTCTAAATTTGGGTTACCGATATCACATGCTGAGAATTCCATACTTGTACCAAAATACTGTTTGGAATCAAGCTATAGTCAGAAATTAAAAGAAATTTTTTTAATATAGAAAAATTGCCCTTGTACAGCTACTAACAATGAAACTGTTCAAGATTTACTGCATTAAAGAACTTGAAAGTTTTATGTGCCTGAATCTTTGTAGTTTTTTTTTCTTCATCAGTCATATGTAGATATTTTGATTTATACGTCTAGGAAAGATATTTTGATAAATCACTATGCATCTACTCCTGAACTCAAAAATCACATAGCATAATCATAGTGTTTTCAGCTGTAAGTGTCTATTCTTCTACCTAATTTAAGCACCGTCGTAACTTTATATAACATCTATGTTGAACAGTTATTTGGAGTAACTTTTATAATAACGCAGCCAAAAGTAGGAAAATTTATTTTCGAACCGTTTTGACTGTTCATCTAAGTGTGGTTAGTTTTCATATGAAGTTATCTGGGTACATTGCGTCGGCTGCACAGTGTTGGAATGCTCACCGACTACGCATGTGATCCGGGGTTCAATCCTCGGCCAACGCACTCTTTTACCTCGCTAAGCCAGTAATAAGACTGGTAAAGAGGAAAGGATGGGCATGAGGCTAGCAACCTTATCCCGTAAAAGATAAACACCACTGCTACCGAAAGATCAAGTCTCTAGCTTGAAGCTTTATGTTCCACTGAGAACGTTGAGGAATACGTGTGTGTGTATCTGCGTACATAGATTGTAAATGCCGTAGTACTGAACCTTTCATTATAACACATGTGAAGATAGTATTCAAACTCACAATAACTACACATGACTTTCATTTTTTTCATTCCTTTGCTCGAGCTTGACGACTGAGCTTTGAAATTTCAGCAGCAGTGGTTTTGCTTCACAAGGTAGGATCAACTAGTTCACGGCTGACTCTCTCTCTCTCTACACATAATACCGAGTAAGCGAGGTCTGAGTAATGCGTCGGCTGGGGTTCGAGCCTAGACCGCGGGAGTGGTTGGCAAGCATTCTATCACTTAACTGCCAACGATTTTCACTTAGTCACTATGAATACTCAAAAATGAATATGATCCTGTTGTTAGTTAACATGCGAATATCTGTTATACAGTATTTTTATAATACACTAAATAATCTGATCAAAGTAACAAAACGTCAACCTTCGTGGTAAACTCACATGAAGTGGAATCAGAAGCATTTGTTGAAAAAAATATATAATTTTTTTGATTTTTTGACTACAGCTTGATTACACACCATATTTTTGGTATAATTATGGAATTCTCAGCATGAGATATCGGTAGCCCAAATTTTGCAGGCCAACCACTGATATCAGGTGTGCCGCTTTGTTGAGGTGTATTTTACAAACATGTATTTTGTTTCCATTTTTCATTACTAAGCAGACACTCAAAAAGAGTAAGGTTTCGTAAGATAGACAAGTTATTCATGAGCAGTCCTGGCTGCCTTTTGCATAGCCATGAGATATAATTAGCTTTTTAAACAATTATACATAAACAGGGAAATATTGTAGCGGGCTGTTTTAAAGTTTCAACATGTGAAACCACGAAATTATCAATTCCAAGGGATAAACAACCTATGATGAAATCTGACAGACCACATATTAATTAAGTGATTCATCCTTAGATATAATCACATGATAATTTCTCCTTTGCGTTTTTAGTGAAACATAGAGCCTTAGAAGCACATCCCCGCTTAACTCTGTTCTCCACAGTCTATTTTAGCTGGCTTTATTTTCCACTCCTCATGATCTCCTCCATGTCAATCTCTGCCTTTGCATTCGATTTTCTCTTAACGGCCTGGTTGCTGTTTGATGTCAGTCAACGGTCCCCTCAGAATATATCACGTACATCTCCATTTCCTTCTGAACATTTGTTCAGAGATAGGTTCTGGTTTGGTTTGCTGTCAGAACTGTTTTTCGCTTATCCCTTCTAACCGACCATCTCATATACAGTATCGAGAGAAGACAGCAGTTGATGAAAGTTCACAATAGCCCATTGGAAATTATTTTGGCGACATGTAGGTGTAATCTTTAAACCATATAGAAGCAGAAACTGACTTGAAATTAGTTTTAAAAATTTAGACCATATTCCCAATTCTGAGTGGAACAGTTTTGCCACACAGCCTATCATAACTACATCAATAAAAATGAAAAAGTTTGTATTTAAACGTTTAATATCGTATAAAGTAGCTTATTAGGGATTATTTATTGACGGCTGTCATCCAACAATATACTTTGAAATAAAAAAAACAAAATTTATATCAAGCGAAATGTACGCATCTTTGATTAGTAGAAAAAGAAAAAGAAAAAAAATTGAAAACACCTTAAAGGCAGAGGTCCTTCTTTTAGCCAAATTTATTGAAAACATTTTACTTCATTATGATTGGTTCACACTGAATGCTGATAGAACTGGAATAGTAAGACTCAAATTTTCAGAATCAAGACACACTTTTACTATTTTACATTTTGTATACTCAATTAAACAGCAGAATAATAAATGGATTATTTCTATTTTTATTTTTCTTGGAACCATAATAATTCTTAAATGTTCAGATGAAAATAGATTATTTGTGAAAGATTACATTAGAAGAGGAACCAAAAAAGTAGCTTTTGATAAAACATGTTCACATATTTAAGCTAAAGTCTATTTAATATGCATATTGTCAAGTGAAGAAAGTATTTTTATTTTTAGGGAAATGTTCATGTTTTTAGAACTTTTAAAGCAGTTATGGCTTTATAAGGTGAATGCTAGAGATCCAATCTTTTCGTTTACTTCATATTATACAATATTACTTGTACAAATATTAACATCCACGTTATTTGTGCATACTACAGTTAATATGCATAAGCATCAGTCATATTCGGATACATTAAATTTATTAACTGGAAATATATCTTCAAAATTACCACCTGTTGGTTTACCTGTTATTTCAAATTGGCGTACTAATTTATCTTTGGATTTTTTTTCCATGTCTAAATCAAAATTCAATCGAACAAACAAATTTCTGCCTGTATCAACTCAATTCAATATGTATCACAATCGACTAATGGATATAAATAAAACTAATTATGACTTGGGTGGACGTCAAGGTCAAACAGTTTCTTCTGCTTCCTCCGCATCTTCCTCTCATTTTGTTGATCAGTCTGGTCCGTGTACACCAGAAGAAGAGGCAAACAAACTACAGTGTTTACGGGAATTACCAGCAGAACGATATGAAGTCCTTGAAGGTGAAACAGTCTTAATGAGGTGCCGTGTTGCCCATCAACGAGGCAAAGCACAATGGCGTGCTAGGAACTTCTTACTAGGTAAGTTTTATGCTTTATAAATTTACTTACTGTCAATAAACTTTTTTGTGCGGGTCTTAACATGATTTTTATGTGTGATGTACTATGCAAAATATTCCCAGGATAATCAGGAATTTTTTACATTAGGTTTCATGATATCCAAACTGAATTCTTTTGAATAAACCGAAATTTATGACAGATGTGATCGATATAATTATGAAAGATAACATCGGTTAAATGATTTCAAAACCTGTGAATTAGTTGACATTGGTCATAATAAATTCCATCTTAAGGTTAGGCGCGTCGAGCAAAAACTATGAAGAAGCGCTTTGTAAAAAAATCATTTTAATTATCAAAAATGTGTAATTTAGGTCATTATCTACCCACACGGATTTATTTTTTTTAATAATTTTTGAAAACAATAGGCTGTGTTAAAACTTTTTGATGAAATATCAACTTTTAGAATTCTTCTTCAGAAGGGGATTATTGCATTAGAATATGAATGATTTTCTTGGGAAGCCTACGTACTATTTGAAATTCAAACATCTTTTGTTGGTGAGATATCCAACTTGAATACACAAAGATACCTGTAGAAATGTATATGTTCAGTGTATATCTCACATGTTATAAATGTCCAAGTCGATAGAATTAGTTTTCACTAAACTGTTGAGCGATTTATTAGTATCTTATTACTTACGACTAACATTATAGCAGAAAGACTGTATAATTTTTGTGATACAACCTCAGTTGTTGTTGTTTTACCAGTCTACTTTCCGCTCAGTTAAAGGCAATTTTAGACAGAGTGGAAATTTGTTTCATTTTTTAAAATGAAGCGCTGGTGTAGATAACATTTACTTATTTTTTATTTTTTTTTATTACAGCTTGATTCCACACAGTATTTTGGTACAAGTATGAAATTTTCAGCATGTGACATCGGTAGCCCAAATTTAGCAGGCCGACCATAGATATCAAGTGTGTGTCGGTGGGGGATTGAACCTCAGACCATGTGCATGGTCGGCGAGCGTCGTAACCGCTGTACCACCGACGCACATCTGTCACGTTGTAGAACTAAACTGACTATGTACTCCACTAAGAAAAGCTGTACTCAGAAGATTCATGTATACAAGAATTTTTACACAGATGTTTTATTTACATTGCCTCATTAAAAGCAAACTAATGCAAAGGCATACAAGCACGTGGGTAGCTTAGCTGTAGAATGCTCCCTAACTACCAATATGGTTCGGAGTTCAATCTCCAACTGACGCTTTGCTAAAACGTGCCAATTCGGTATTAAATCCAGTGAAGAAGGGAGATTAGACATGAGGCTATCAATTACACCTTGTATTAATATTATTTGTAGTTCCCTTGGGTTCCGAGTGGAGCATAGGGCTTCAGCAACACATCTCCACTTTCTTCTATTTTCTGCTTTCCACTTCAGCTGAGCCCACGATTTCCCCTAATTTCTCATCTCCTCCTCACATGATCTTCTCCGTGTCACCCTTGGATGATCCGCTCGTCGTTTTCCATTCGGATTACACTCGAGCTATGGCCTGGCGCGCGATGTCACTCGACGATCTGCTCAGTTGGTGGCCTATCTATCTCCATTTTCTACTACATATTTGTTGAGCGATCGGCTCTCGCCTGTTAGTTTGTTCCCATAGTTTCTTGTTGCTAATTCTTTCTGGCTAGCCATTTGATCTTCACGACTGAACCAGCGGAAACAGCTGTTGATGAAAGTCTTCAGTGGCCTGTGGCAAATGCTTTTCTTGATGCATCGTGTTTCCAACCCATATAGAAGAACTGGCTTCACATTTGTGCCAAAAGAATCATGCCATTGCTACTTTAGATTCAGAGCTTACGATTGAAGCCCTATGTTCCTTATGGAACACTAGGGAACAAAATAAAATAATAGTATAATAAGCACATCAGAAGATAACTCGTAATAATTACAATCACATGTTTTTGTCTCTTGTATTTTACCGAAAACAGATGAAACCATTTAGGTTTTATTTGATGACTGTCATTATAATTTTAGCGTCATATGAAGCAGGAATATCCACACTGACTCAAGAATATAGAGTACTTAGTTAAAGTGGTTCACACAAATCTCCATTACGCTACACCTAATAATATTTGACAGTGCATCGGTGGCATAGCGGTCATGACGCTCGCCGACCATGCACTTGGTCCGGGGTTCGATCCCCGGCTGACACACTCATTTACCTCGCTGAGCCAGAAATAATGCTGGTGAAGAGGAAAGGTTGTGCATGAGGCTAGCAACCCCATCCTGTGAAATAAACACTGCTACAGAAACTTCAAGCCACTAGCTTGAAGCCCTATGTTCCACCGGGGAACATGAAGGAAAAAAAATAATATTTGTCACTGGAAAACGTAAACATCAGGAGTATATCTAGCCAATTTAGGTGAATCTACGAGTTTCTTTTGTTTCTATCAGGTGAATATACTGCTGAACTTAAGCCACTACTATTGTATAGGTTAAAACTTTCCTTCTGTACAAAAAACAACGAAATTGTCTCCTAATCAGTTGATATGAAACAATCTATTAATTACTTTAGCTGATATGACAAAATGTTTAACAAGGTATATAATAATGGACAAGTGAAACTGGAAGATATTCATTCATTCAATCAATCAATCATTGATTGATTCATGAATTCAATTGTTGTAAAGGTGATGCAAACAAAAAAATATATTTTGAAAAGAGGCTAGAACTTTTCCGCATGACTGGCAGAAATGTTTACTTTTTAAAAACATAATAGAATAGATAATCTTCGTGAAAAGAATTGCCTTTTTTTACCATCAATAATATCTTTATTATTTAAAGTTGAAAATAAAATTGAAGTTGATGACGTACTTAGATATCAAATGCTACAATGAAAACAATACATCATATATGGGCAGGGACTGGTGAACATCTGTAAAGCATATACTGAACTTGTTTTTTTGTGCTGCTTTCCACCCTGATATCAAAACATGCTAAGAACTGTCTACAAATTACTTAATTTAACAAAATTCACACGTACTTAGTGGATCAAATGTATCCGTTGAAACAAAAAACATCTTCCAACGAAAAAATTCAAACAACTAAAAAAAATTCATTGAAAGCCAAACTGTCTTTTGCATAATTGAAGCCTACATAGTTCTATGCCTCTAAATAACTTCATATCGAAGTGTAAACATGTCAGCTACTAATAAATATGGATGACACAGACTTTATTCAACCTCTAGCTTGTCTTTAAACGACTTGAACAAATAATTAAGGACTAAATTTTAGAATTAGTTCAAACGATCAACAAAAATGGAGGAAACTGTTTGTTTTATTTTCAATTCTAGTTATATTGTTGAACTGAGAAATCACCTCTCGGATAAGATGTAAATAAAATGAATTTTAACAAATTTCTCATACTTTGGAAGAAGTGAATAGATTTCATTAATTAAAAACAAAAGAAAGTGTTGTCTAATTGTCAAGTATTGGTTTTGTAGGGATTTTGTTTGATTGATTGTCATCATGAGCTGACATCAGTTAGAGAATAGGCCATTGGATCAAGTCCCACTGGCTTAATGGTCTACGAGCTCGCATTGTAACCAGAATGTCCTGGCTTCGAATCCCGATGGGTGCGTACCAATGAAGAGCCCCAAACCAGGACGAAAGAGTTGGCTGTTCAGTACTCCCAGGTGGTTTTCCAATGGTTCTCTAACTGATGTCAGCTCATGATGACATCCTCCGAAGTGTTGTAAGCAGTATTAAGTTAATACTACAACTGGAAGAAATGCTCCTTACTTAGCTTTTTGAACTTTGAAACGTACATATCATTTTAAGAACTTTCACAAGTTTTTATAGGTTGTGCAAAATATAGATCACAATACAACTTCACTAGTTGGAAGGAAGACTGTTTTACGTATTTCTACTTTCAACCTCACAAATTCACTATAATTCAAGTAGCATAAATTGATTCAGTCGTAAGCTACAGCATTCTTGATTTCTGAGAATTGTATTATTAACACAATGATGTTGAACAAGCAAAACCATTATTGGTTTTATGAATGCAAAGATATACTCATACACAATAGACTAAACAGATGATCTTTCCATGCACTCATTTGCATTACTTTGGATGTATTTAAACCCTTAAAGGAACCTTATAGGTTAAAAAGCATAACTTTTTCGACTATCCGAATAATACATACTGGGAATTGATTTAATGTTAGTCGATTTCGCCTCGGAACGTAGTCGTTTCTTTAGGTTGCGTAGTGGTTAATAATTTCATCTTCAAAACGGAAGTAATTTAAATGCTGATATCAATTAGTAGTGTAACCCAGCTGCATCAGTGGTCTAAAACTGGACACCTGTTTGGTTTGTATAGTACAGAGTTCATCTGCGGTGTTCTCAGTTTGACTGAGCTTAGAGAGTCGAATTATTTCAAACCACTCAAATTCTGGCTAGCTACAAACTACCTGAAGTAGCTAAACAGCCGTGTTGTTTCCTAATCACTTCGACATGGCCGTCAAGTACCACTGCTTGATGTGAGTCATATTCAACTACTCATAAGAATCAGTAGTATATACCATCAAGCACAGATGTTTGCTTTATTGATTGCTACTTAGGCTATCAAGTGGATTACAGTATGTGGTCCGAACAGTTACAGCCTTCAAAAGAAACCATGGTGAAAAGTTCACCTTAGACTGTGTAATTTACAAACTTTGAATTTGAAAGTGCTCCTATATTCAAAGTAAATGTCAAAAAATCTATTTCACTTTAAGCGATGTCCATAACCAAGTGAAATATATACCTTAGTATTGATCACTGTGCTGTCAATTTGCACATATCTCAGCCATAATCCTTGTACATTAGCCCAAATTATGAAATTAAATATTTAGAAGATTTAAAACACTTTAATTCAGCAATTTTAATTTCTTTTTGAATAAAAAAAATAGATAAATGTTAGACAACTGGGCTTAATTCTTTATTACTGAATACAAGTCAGTTTGTTTACTGCGTG